CTCTTCATTACCGTTTCTATCTTCTCAGTGCTCTCGAGATCTTTCATTCTCAAATCTATCTCCCTCCTCTCGCATTCAAAGTTAAAGGTAGTTGTGCACTCCATTAAATGATTTTTGAACCTCGTCTCAAATTCAAACAAAGGAACTCTCTTCATTCTGATTCACGAAATCTCGCACACGAACGATGAACTCGGAACTGTGTTTTTTCTGTGTTTATCTGTGTTTTTGTTTGTTTGCAAGTGGTTTCGTCTTCGATCGAAAGGCAAAACGTCTCTATTTCTTTGGTTTTAAAGCTCAGGATCTCGCTCTCGTCGTTTGACCTTCGTGACGAGATCTCGAGATTTAAAACTCGAGATTGAGATCTCGAGATTTAAAACTCGAGATTGAGATCTCGAGATTTAAAACTCGAGATTGAGATCTCGAGATTTAAAACTCGAGATTGAGATCTCGAGATTTAAAACTCGAGATTGAGATCTCGAGATTTAAAACTCGAGATTGAGATCTCGAGATTTAAAACTCGAGATTGAGATCTCGAGATTTAAAACTCGAGATTGAGATCTCGAGATTTAAAACTCGAGATTGAGATCTCGAGATTTAAACTCGAGATTGAGATCTCGAGATTTAAAACTCGAGATTTAAAACTAGAGATTGAGATCTCGAGATTTAAATCTCAAGATTGAGATCTCGAGATTTAAACCTCGCAATACGGTAATCGAGCTTTTGCCTTAGCCGATTTTTACCACCACCTGCACTTCATTTTTCACAACCAAGTCAAACAACAGTTCATCTAATTTCAGGAAACCACAAAAATAAAAATGGACATTTGCACTGACCCATGTTTTCACAGCTCATTATGGCAGGTACACAAAAGAGACATAACATTGAAGACACCATCTACCCACAAGATAGGTGGGTCAAGGTGCTGGACAACAACTTCCAGCTCGATCTGACTGTTTTCAAGTGTCAGGATCCAGTCATCCCTGGGATTCTGAAGCGCCTTTATCTCTGGACCGCCTTCCACAACTCAAAGACGGTGCCAGAAATCTACCTCCAACAAGTATGGGGACACATGCGCACCGAGTCAACAAAAGACCGCACCAAAATCCTCACAAAGCTCAACAACATGAGGATTGTCCTGACTCCAGCAACTCTACGCTCTACACTGGCGCTCCCCGAACATGACAACTACGATCCTCTTCCTTCTATTCCGGATCTTCTCAAAGATGTCGCGGCTCTGGGTTATGCCTCTCTACTACCAAAACTGTCGAACTTCAATGGAGCATACCTTCATCGTCCCTGGAAGAGCCTATTCGGGCTAGTCAACAAGTGCCTCTCTCCAAAGCATGCCGGACTCGACAAATGCAACAAGCAAATACTCTGCGTCTTCCACGGCTTTGCATACAACAAGAAGTATGACATGGCTCAGCTCTTCTTCTCAGAGCTAATGGACCTGGTAAAAGCCAAAGAGAAAAACAGGTCAGGCACCATTCCATACGCCAGGTGGTTGGGGCTGATCATCCATGACTGCATGACAGCAAACACATCCATTCCTCGACGTACTGATGATCCACACTTCATAGCCCCAAAGCTCCAATACTTCAAAGCTGATAAGAAAGCAGCTCAGGGCCTGCGGATTCCAGATGCTCTGCTCAACCTGGAAAATCAGTCCAATCCAATCATCGTCACATACAAGGAGAACCTTGAGAGAACAGTCCCTATGGTTCAGCAAAACCCAGCTGGACCTACCCAGGGGACTAAACCGAGTGTAAGTAAGGGTCCCAAGAGAGCCCCAAAGCCACAGAAGCCAGTGGCACGACGGACCGATGAAGGAGACTCCGATGAATCTCTCGAGAGGACTCGGACGACTGAGGGCAAACCGACGAACGCTGAGGAATCTGCTGATGACTCGCTCAGCTCGGCCCACAAAGAGGCTGACGACGAGGCTTCCGATAGCGTGGCCAGAAGTGACAACGATGATAATGATGATGACGATGATGTTGACGATGTGGACCACACTTTTGCCTATTGACAAGTGAACCCGGTTGTGCTACCAAGGAACAATCACCGCCTCAAAAGCAGCAAAGAGTTCCATACATCTCCCCAGGCAAAGACATCCATGATGCACTGGAGGAGGCGGTGATATACGATAAATGGCCGAGACAATGGACAGAATGGGATGATCTTCGGAATGAGGCTGAACAAGAGGACATGAAAAGAAATTGGTGGCTACGAGAGCTAATTAACAAATGCTCTGAAGATATCATTAGGCTCGAGGACGATGAACGCAAGGAAGGGGAGAACTACAAGGAATCCCAGAAAACTCTTGAATCCGTCGTAAGACAATCAGCGGGAAGACTTCCCAAGAGGAAATCAGAGAGCATATCTGGCGTAGACCAGACAGAGTCAAACCGCTGAATGAACTGAAGCTAAGAGGCCTTACTCATTTAAAAGGAAAGCAGACTGGAGGTCATCTGCATATGCTGCTAAAAAGGTCAACCGGTACTCAGAGAGAACTGATGGAACAAGATCTGAAGTCAAATATTCTCCCGATTCATCAAATTCTACAAGTGAAGGCTGAAGATTATCATGGAGTGACATTCTATACATACAAGCTTCAACGCACTGACGGGAGCGAATTTACTTGCCAAGAGAATGATTTCATCATGCTGAAACCGGACGACATCTATCAAATGTTCATGGCCTATAGATACCTTCCAGTCAGGCAGAGCATAACATACAGCGAAGGTCTCGCAGCAATCAAGAGATTCATGCTTAGACAGATCAGAGTACACTCTTCACATGACCTACAGATGGCTATTGAGTGCAACCTGAAAAAGACAAATCTGACAAAGCCAAGACTGTATGGTCCAGAACTTGAAGACTTCCCAGCCTACCACATCTTCTTTACACGGCCAACAGTCACCTATCTGAACCACAAGAACGAAAAACGTCTGATGGTAGTCAGTGAAATTGAGAAGTACTGTGACGGAACGCTGAAGATAATCAAAGAACAACTTCTAAAGATGAAGGCAGAGCTAGAGAAAAATCTTCAAGAGGCATCGTCTTATGTTCAAAAGGAACACTCTACAGTAGAGACAATTTTAAAGGCCATTGACGATCGCCTAGAAAAGAGAAATATGCTGAGGCAATATGAACATGCACTTGGTATGAGGAAGCACTACTTCAAGTCGCAGAAGCAATAACAGAGTGGCACTTGATCACAAAGGGGGAGATTGTTGGAGATATTTAATTGTGAATCAAGTTTGTCATAGATTAGCTTTATATTTAATCCTTGTATTTAATTAGTGCATGAATTAGATAGAAATCGGGCCAAGTGTTAGGCCCATATAAACAGGCTAAAAGCCTTGTACGCCTAACCTAAACCTCTCCTATAAAAAGGGAGCCGAGGGTTTAGGATTAGGTTAACGTCGTACTTATTCTTCATAGCCTTACGCGCATATATTTGTGTTGTACAAGTTCACGGTCTATCAAAGAGGGTTTTACGTTGATTCATTCTGTGTTCATCCTTACATTTAATCTTCATTGTTAGATCGTTATTCATTGCTGTTACAGAAACATGGACTAACAACATCCTTAATGTAATGACAGCATACACAAATAAACTAGCTATTAATCAGAAGGACTTATGAAGGTGATGGTGAATGGTGAATGGTAAAAACAGTCCCTTTCTTTTGAGAGATTGGAATACTTTAACAAAGACTCAATGCATTCGGGAACTTCAGGGCTATTATTAGGATCAAGGAATTCAGTAGGCCACAATTTAGGAACAATCATCTAAACCTATGCAAAGAGTAGACATGGTGTACAAATAAGCTAAACCGCCGCGGCACATTAGTGCTTTGACGTATACTTGAAGTACGCGGAGGACTAAAGCTGATTGTACTAAAGCCTCCAAGTTCATTAATTATGTTTAGTTTTCCTTGTCATGTTGGCACGAGAACGCCATTTCTTTCGAAAGATACCCAAGTCTCATCTTATTGTGCGAACACTTACGCTTTTTGACCGGGGCTCCCATTCTCTTTTTCGCAAGGCAAGAGGTCTAGCTATATTAACTTTTCACCTTTCAGATTCTTACTAGACATTACCCCATTCTAATCTCGGCCTCACCAAGGAAAAATAGCAGTTAAAGTTCATTTATTAATGTGAATCCATGCCTACAATGCAATCCTCGAAAGTATCAAATTCCTAAAAAGTGACTGCTCTTACCCCCATTTGGGGCATAGGAACAGTGCCAACAGAGGCTCCTACAAAAATTCCCTAAACTTAAAAAATTAATCCCTTAGTTCCCTAAACATCAAGACCAAGTCAGAAATATTCACGGGTGAGGAAACATGCCATTTGGCTATGGATCTCAATTGATTGGGTAAGGAACAAAATGGTCAGGCTCAAAGTGGCTTCTCCTAAAGGACTTTTTCAGGTGGGATGGAAAATTTATGAGTTAATTCAATGGGTGACTAATGCCTTCATCCTTTCAACAACTAGATTATAGTGCAAGCAATTTAAGCCTAAACACTTCAAAGATGTTCCAAAAGCATAGTCAAAATGCTAGCCAGCTCACAAAGACACAGTTTAGAGAAAAAAATTTCAAAAATTTGACATTAATTTCCTATGAATATACAACTAACATCTGCGCATGCTAACTCTAAAAATCATACGTAGCAACTACTGCCCGACTGCCCAATTCACTCCCCCACACTTAAACTTTGGCATCGCCCTCGATGACCAAATATGCACTATGCACAAGGGGGTAAAGGGAAAGGGTCACGCGTGCTCAAACCTAACTCAAGTCAAAATAAAAACAGGTGTATGGAAACGAGTAAGGAACAGAAAAAACTCCCCTAGGTCATTTAGCTGGTCCGCCCTCGACCGCTACCTCGTTCATTTCCGCTAAGTAAGATTTTTCCCGAAACAAAGTTGCACTCACAAAAGAATAGAAATACAAAATATCCAAACCAGATTGACAGAGTGATAAAGTATGCGGTGAATCAGTGTCATAAAATATCATGTAAAAATCTAAAAAGGGGGAGGGGGTGGGTAGTGCTCGTGAGGGTGCTGGCCGTCCCATCGACTCTCCAGGGCTGTCAGCCGCGTGTCGATCGAGGCTAGGCCAGAGGTGATGTCAGCGAAAAACTGCTGCTGGTGCTGGTAGAGTCGCATGTAGGTGTCTTATTGATGCTGATGCATCCCCTCCCAGGTGTTGGGATAAACGTAACCCTGGGGAGGGGGCACATAAGGGACCTCATGCGCCATCTCGTGCTCCATCTCGCGCTCTCCATGCTCGTGTTCATGCTCGTCATCCTCCTCTTCATTGCCTCCAAGCTCCCCCTCTGCCGCTCCTGCGCCCTGTTCCTGTATCCTCATCGGGATAATCTTAGGCAGCTTCTTCATCGGATGGGTGCTATCTATCCGGGTCATCCCCTCAAATCGGTCTTCGTAACCCATCCCCTTCAGCAGGCGCGTGATGTAAGGACCGGCGAAAATCGCCTTAACTCGATAATTCGCCTGTCTGAGGAACAGGCGTGCGAATAGGGCTCCAAATATCGACCTCCTCTCGTTGATCATGCACCAGAGGCAGAAAAGATCAGTGGCGGAGACTTTGCCACTGAGCTCTGCGCGTCCTGAAACAGTAGAGCTAAGGAGGGCATGGACCACCTGGAACTGGAATGGGTGAAGTGCAGTGCTGGGTGCCGTTTGGGGTTTGTAATCACTGGCACCAGGGGCTATGGATTTACCGAAGTCTTTTCGGTTTACTTCTGGGGGAATGTCTAGTATGCTCCCCTCAAACCGGGCCACGTCAAGGAGAGTATTGAAGCCAAGATGTGTAGAAATATCGCTCACAGATATGATGTGAGACTCCCCAAAAGCTCGGAATTTGATCACCGGGAGAAAAACGTTGTCGAAGGTCTTGGGTGCCTTGAATGAAGACAGCACCTCACAGGTGATCTCTTTGTATGTGGGCTCATCGATGCCGAAAAATAGGTGTTGCCACCAATCACGATGGAGGAGTTGCATGACCTCATCTCGTATGCCGGCCTGCCCTAAGGTGGGTAGATGGGGATACAATCGTTGCCCCACGCTCATGTTCATCAGCTCATCATATTTTTTCCGTTGTGCTTCGTCCACAAATTGAGGCAAATATGGGGCAGCTGGCTGATGGCTCCCACTTTGTCCAGCTCGGCTTGAGTCGGCCCCTATGATGTCCCGCTGACGTTTGGAGGTCTGTTTGGTGCGACCCATCTGCAAAAAGGTTTGACAAAGGAATTCCAACGGGGCTTTCAAGTGTTAGAATTGAACAAAATTATAGAAGATTAATGGTCTCGTCAGCAATTAAACAATCAAGATCATCATTAACTAAAACAATCCCAAGTTTAACCAGAATAGTTGAAAAATTTGAACTTTTATCAAAGAAGGGTTCTTTGAATAAAATTCAAATTTTCAACGACACACGGTATAAACAAGATCACAAGCAAGCAACGTTTAATATTCCAGATGTTTAGAACGGGGTTCTTCCCAAAAGCAATAGACAGAAAATCAAAATTGGGGAAGAACTCTCAATTCTCAAATTTGAAAGAGTTTGTCCTAAAAATTTGGGGACTAGTGCTCAAACAGAGTTAGTAACAATCACAAATCATCTCAAGCAGCATTAAACCTCATAGAAAGCAAAGAACCCAAAAACCGCCAAATTATTGTCACTGGCATAATTTACCCTAATTTGGCAAAATCAACTCAAAAATTAGGGATTTCAAGCAAAAGAGGAAAAATCAGCAAAGTAGAACATTCATAGCATCAATACAAGCCTCAATTTAATCATAGACAAACGAATCCCTAATTTTCGAGCTCATGCAAATTTGAACTTGTAAAAGCTTGAACACCTCCATTAATGGAGAAAAGAGGAAGAGAGAAGAAGAAAACCTTGAGTGAGTAGCGGAGAGAGAGAGGAAAACGGCGGGTGGTGCTCGGCTGGAGTCGCAGTGGCGATGGGGTGCGCGGTGGTGGTTCTCGTTGGTGGGCTGCGGTCGCGGGAGGGAAGACTTTTGGAGTTTTGTTGTGCGATAGAAGAAAAGAAAGCCGCAGGTGAGTTTTAAAAGATGGGACACACACGTGCGTCCCTAGCCACGCACGCGTGCGTGGCTGGCAATGTGTTGTGCGTGAATTGAAAATTTGGGACGCACGCGTGCGTGGCTGGTAATGTGTTCCAGTTTTTTCTCCCTGCAGTGACGCACGCACGCGTCCTGGACGCACGCCCGTGCGTTGCTGAATTTGTTTTTTGTGTGTGATTTTTGTGGGTTTATGAAAAGCAGTAAACTACACTAAAGAAGAAAAAATTAAGCTCGGGTTGCCTCCCGAGAAGCGCTATTTTTAACGTCGTTTGCCCGACGCAACTACACACTCATCTCTCAAAATCTGTGATGACAGTCACCTCACGTTCGCGGTCTAGCGGTCCTCCGTAGTACTTCTTCAGGTGGTGGCCGTTCGCTTTAAAATGGCCTTTCTCTGGATGGTCTATCTCAACTGTACCGTACGGAAAAACTTCGCTTACTATGAAAAGACCGGACCATCTAGACTTCAACTTTCCTTTAAAAAATTTCATTCGGGGATTGAACAACAGAACTTGATCCCCTTTACTAAACTCTTTTCCTTGTTTGATATGCCGATCATGACATGCTTTGGAACGCTCCTTACTAATCTTAGAGTTTTCATAGGCCATGAGCCTCCACTCATCCAATTCGTTGAGCTTCCAAAGCCGCTCACGACCCGCCAATGAAAGATCTTTATTCAGCGTTTTCAAGGCCCAGTAGGCCTTATGTTCAATCTCTACCGGAAGGTGGCACGCCTTCCCATAAACCAGGTGAAACGGAGTAGTGCCAATGGGTGTCTTATACGCTGTACGCAATGCTCACAGCGCATCATCTAACTTATCGGACCAATCCTTCCTATGGGTCTCAACGGTCTTCTCAAGGATGGTCTTAATGTCTCTATTCGAATTCTCAACTTGGCCACTAGTTTGAGGGTGATATGGGACGCCCCCTTTATGAGTGACTCCGTACTTTGCCAGAAGGCGTGTCATGGGATCATTCCTAAAGTGGGTGCCCCTGTCACTAATCAACACTCGCGGCACTCCAAATCTAGAAAACAATTTTTTCAGAAAACGAATTACAACTCTAGCGTCATTCGTGGGCAGAGCTTCAGCCTCAACCCACTTAGAAACATAATCCACAGCAACAAGAATGAATTTATTACCCTTAGAACCCGGAAACGGTCCCATGAAGTCAATGCCCCAAACATCAAATACCTCACAAGCCAATATAAAATTCTGGGGCATCTCATCCCTCTTGGTAACCGCCCCGGCGCGTTGACACCTGTCACATTCCTGCACAAACATTAGAGCATCTTTAAACAAAGTGGTCCAGAAGAAACCACATTCCAAGACCTTACGGGCTGTCCGGTTGAAAGAGTAGTGTCCCCCGGTTGGTCCTGAGTGACAATGTTTAAGAATTTCAGCTCCTTCACAAAGAGGGACACATCTTCTAACAACCTGATCAGCACAAATACGAAACAGATATGGTTCCTCCCAGAAATAATATTTCAGATCAGCAAAAAATTTCCTTCGTTGATGAGGTGCATAATCAGAAGGAACAACACCCCCAACCAGATAGTTGGCGATGTCTGAAAACCAGGGCACCTCATCAACGATACGCAAAAGTCTCTCATCAGGAAAAGTACCCTCAATATCTCTCTCACTCAAGGAATCAAGAAAGGGGTTCTCTAACCTACTCAAGTGATCATCTGCTAAATTCTCAGCCCCTTTCTTATCCATTATCTCAATATCAAACTCCTGGAGTAGTAATATCCACCGAATCAATCTAGGCTTAGCATCCACTTTTTGCATCAAATATTTAAGAGCAGAATGATCGGTGAATATCACTACCTTAGACAAAATCAAATAAGGACGAAACTTGTCAAGAGCAAACACAACAGCAAGCAATTCTTTCTCGGTGGTAGTGTACTTTTCCTGGGCACTATCGAGAGTCTTAGAAGCATAAGAAATAAGCTGAAAATGTTTCTCTCGACGCTGCCCAAGAAAGGCTCCTACTGCAAAATCACTACCATCACACATAATCTCAAAGGACAAAGACCAGTCAGGAGCTACTACCACCGGTGCCTTGACCAGTTTCTCCTTCAAACACTCAAAAGCCTCTAAACACTCCTTTGAGAAGTCAAACGGTGCATCCTTCTCAAGGAGCATAGTCATGGGTCAGGATATCTTAGAATAGTCCTGGATGAACCTACGGTAGAAACCTGCGTGTCCTAGAAAACTCCTAATGGCACGGACTGAGGTAGGGGGAGGTAATTTAGAAATAACATCAACCTTAGCCGGATCAACCTCAATCCCCCCTACTCGATATCTTATGCCCTAGGACCACTCCCTCACTAACCATGAAGTGGCACTTCTCCCAGTTAAGCACCAAATTCACCTCTCGACACCTAACCAGGTCTTTCTTCAAATTCTCTAAGCACTCATCAAAAGTGTCACCATACACAGAAAAGTCATCCATGAAAACCTCCATAAACTTCCCAATAAAATCCGCGAAAATAGCAAGCATACATCTCATAAAGGTAGCAGGGGCATTACATAATCCAAACGCCATCCTCCGATATGCGAAGGTACCGAATGGACATGTGAACGTGGTCTTATCCTGGTCCTCTGGGGATATGGGGATCTGGAAGTATCCCGACATCCCGTCAAGGAAACAGTAGAACTTATGCCCTGCTAACCTCTCTAAAATCTGATCATGCGACATTCAACTTTCGTTAATCAATGCAGACCCGCCATCCGGTGACCGTACGCGTCGGTATCAACTCATCTTTCTCGTTCTTAACCACAGTCATCCCCCCTTTCTTGGGAACCACCTGGGTCGAGCTGACCCAAGGGCTGTCTGAAATCGGATAAATAATGCCTACATCTAACAGACGGATGACTTCCTCCCTAACCACCTCCTGCATGTTAGGATTCAGTCTTCTTTGTGGCTGCACTACTGGTTTAGCATTATCTTCCATCAAAATTTTATGAGTGCAGAAAGCAGGGCTGATTCCTTTCATGTCAGAAAGTTTCCGGGCTAGAACTTCCCTTTGTTCACTAAGTAGATCAAGACATGCAGATTTTTGGGATGACTCCAGTCCGGATGCAAGAATAAAAGGGAGGTCAGGACTATCATCAAGAAAAGCATACTCAAGGTGGGAGGGAAGAGGTTTTAGATTTAATGGAGAAGGTGTTATAATGGAAGAATCAGTTTGAAAATTTTCTTGCTCCACCTCATCTAAATCTTCTTCCTTCCCCTTCACATCACTAGCATCACTTGAGTCCTCCTCTCCACCTATCATGAGACAATCAAAACTAGGGAGGAGCTCAAGATCCTCTGCTGAAAAACTATCATCCAAAAGAAGATCAAAGAAGGCTTCATCACAAAGCATGTTAGGAATGCAATCCTCCACCAAAGAATCCATCACATCCATGTAAAAACACTCTCCACTATCTTGACAGGGCCTCTTCATTATTTTGGACATGTCAAAGGTGGCAGACTCATCCCCAACGCGGAGGACAAGCTTACCGTCTCCAACATCAATAAGCGCTCGGGTAGTTGCCAAAAATGGTCTGCCCAAAATCAATGGTACCTCCCGATCCTGATCCATGTCCAAAATAACAAAGTCTACCGAAAAAATAAATTTGTCCACTTTAACCAACACATCTTCAATAATCCCTTGGGGATATTTGACTGATCGATCAGCCAACTGAATGCACATATGTGTAGGCTTAAGTGGACCAAGTGCAAGCTTTTCATATAAAGCAAGAGGCATCAAATTAATGCTTGCACCCAAATCAGCCAAGGCCCTATCAAAAGTAAGATCTCCTATAAAGCAAGGAATAGTAAACGAATCTGGATCCTTAAGCTTCTTCGGCAAATCTGTCTGTATCACGGCCGAACACTCCTCATTAAGCGTCACAGTTGACGCTTCTTCCAGCCTCCTCTTGTTCGTCAGTAGATCCTTCATGAATTTCGCGTACTTGGGCATTTGTGCTAGTGCATCCACGAATGGTAAGTTAATTTGCACTTGTTTCATGAGATGCAAAAACTTACCAAACTGGTCACTGTCATTCTTTCTAGTCAATCACGCCGGATAGGGGAGAGGTGGGGTGTAATTCTTGACTGGAACGAGCTGTTTTGGTGCAGCCGCCACCTCTCTTCCCTCATCTTTCTCTGTTTCTTCTTCACGGACAGCTGGTTCACTTTCAACTTCATCGGGCTTCTTTTTCGTGGCAGCAGGCTCTAGCTCTTTTCCATTCCTCAAGGTGATTGCCTGAACATGTTCTCTTGGGTTTGGCTCGGTATTACTAGGGAGGGATCCCTGCGGTCTTTCAGACATGGATTTAGCGAGCTGCCCAATTGTTTTTTCCATGTTTTGCATCCTTGTGTCCGCTTGCTGTTGACTTTGCATTTGTTGCTGCTGAATTTGCAATAATTTCTTGAGTGTTTCTTCTATGCTAGAAAAACTTTGTTCAGTCTCTCTCCTAAAGCACCCTTGCACTGGTTGAGAAGCTTGTTGCTGACCTTGAGGTGATTGGGGTTGATTATAGTTTCTAGACTGCTGCTGCTGATTTCCTTGCCCGTAATTTCCTTGCTGCTGCTGTCCGTAGGGCTGATTGTAGTAGCCCTGTCGCTGATAATACATCGCATCCACTTGCTCTACTCCAGGGGCTGCCGAGTGTGACATCATAGTACATCATGGAGTCCCCCACACATAGTACAAGAAGGACTAAAAGGGCCGGGGGATACCATATTAACACTGGGCACCGAGAGAGCAAGATCCATCTTCTTCCCCATATCAGACACGCTGGTTGTGAACTTCTGCATCATGCTTGCTAATGTATCTACTCGTGCAGAGAGAGCAGAATTATCACTGATCTCGTATAAGCCCGGAGCCTTTGTTGAGGAGCACTCCTGTCGCTGTACCAAGATGCATTATTTGAAACAATCTTCTCCACTAGTTCTTCCCCCACCTCGGATGGTAGATCAGGAAAGGCTCCACCACCTGAAGCATCAGCATCATCTTCCCTTCATTGCCGAGTCCGCTATAGAAGTAAAAAAGAACCTCACAATCAGTCAAATTGCCCTGAGGGTAGGCTCTCCTCAGCACCTTGAATCTCTTCCATGCTTCACCTAAAGTCTCCAGCGACCCCTGTTTGAACTCTTGTAGCTGCTTCTTCAATTTCAGGGCTTTTGATGTAGGGAAGTATTCTTTAATAAATGCATTATGCAGCTGGTCCCAAGTCTGGAGGTGGTGGTGAGGATTGCTGTCCAACCACCTCTGTACATCATCCCTCAGTGAGAACGGGAAAAGCATCATTCTCACCTGATCATCAGTAAGCCCAGGTATTTTGAAAGTCTGGCACATCCTCAGGAAACGGGTAATATGTGCCACTGGGTCTTCAATAGGGCCTCCTCCAAATTGATTATTGGACACCATGCTTATCACCACCGGCTTGATCTCATAACGGTTGGCAGTGATTCCCGGTACTTGAATACTATCGTACTCTGAAACGTTTGGTGTAAGTAACTCTGCAATGGTCTGGCGCTGGTAGAGTGGATTGTTGTGCAGTATATATGGATGGGGTGGAGGCTCCTGATGTCTAGGTTGAGGGGCTGGTTGTGGCTGAGTAGGTGGGACTTGGGTTTGGTTTTGAAACTGATTGGGGTATGGATTTTGGTACTGGGTCTGATTTTGGAATGTAGGTTGATTGATTGGAGGTGGGTTCTGTCTCGGTTGGAAAACGGGAATACTCTGCCCTGCTCCTTGCATCCCATAAACTTGATTTTGAAAATTGGTTTCATGAGCAGTAGGGGTATTTTGAAAGAGGTGAAATAATGGAGGGATATTAAATTGTGGTGAAGGCTGATTTTGGGAAAAAATCGGAGTGCGGTAATTTTGAAAACCTAGAGGGTTTCTAGGTGAAATTGGTGGTGAAGATTGGGGTAATGTGTTCACATAGAAATCTTGCTGAGATGTGGGGTTAGGGTTACCCGACATCCCTGCGGTTCCAGATGAAGACTGGTGGTCCATGTTATTCTTTTCCTTTTGAGACTTGCGGTTTTGTCTGGCGAGCTTTTCAATCTCAAGGTTAAGAGGGATTAGCGGTTCTCCCCTCTTAGAACGTGTATGCATAAACAGAGCTGACCTGCAAGGTTAGCGGACAAAAATTCTACGAAAACTAAAAACGAATCGCTGAGTAAAATTAACCCTTAAGACCGACACCGTCCCTGGCAACGGCACCAAAAACTGATGTGAGTTTTCTCGCACTTAAAAAGATTGTAATATAGCGGTGAAAGTACGAGTATCGTCTCCACAGGGACGGTAAAAGGGAATTAAGAATTAACTAAAATCAGCGATAAAGAATAAATAAAACAAATGCGGTCGTGCGAGATTTGGTTGCTTGAGAAAACTAAAATTGCAAATAAACGACTAAAAGTAAATATTTGGGTTCTTCTTAATTAACGACGAAGGGAACAGGGATTGATTCTGGGGTAATCAGATTTCTGGCAGATCAGGCTAATTACATGAATTTAATTTAATTGAGCCTAGCTAATCAATACTAAGTTCTTACCGCTCTCGCGGCGTAGAGTACAATAATTTAGGGGACCAGACTGATCTATCATGCGACAGGATCCTATATTGTTGCCAAGACGAACGAGCTTACGGTCCCTTAATCGCTACTAATCTCTTAGCGAACGATTAAGTGTGTGTGAATGTGTCCTAGAACAAATTAGATCTCTCTTAATTTATTCTGTATGCAATTGTAATTCTAGTGGCCATTCTAGGTTACAAAAGATATCAATTAAATTATTCAAACACAAATTAAACGACATTCATGCAATTTACACCATCAACAACCTAACCATACATCATGATTAACCCCTTCATCAACCCCAAATCCCTAATTAAAACTACTCCCTATTCATAATTGAAGAATCAATAGAATTGGGATAAATAGAATTAATTGTCATTAATCAAAAAGTAGGAATTTACAAAGAATGTTAAGGAATTGAAAAATCTGGCTGAAAAAGCTCTCTAATCTCGTCCTTAATCTCTCTCTAAAGTTTCATCCCCACTAATTAGGGTTAAGGGGGTGATATTTATAGGAAACATAGTAATTTGGGCTAAATTAGGCAACAATTTAGGTACGCACGGCGCCTACGCACGCGTGCGTTGCGTCCGTGCGTCCGACAGAGAAACGCGTAAAAAATGGGGACGCACGCGTGCGTGGCTGGCAGTAAGGTAATCTTCGTTTTCTTCATTGGACGCACGCGTGCGTCCTTGCACGCACGGCCGTGCGTAGCCTTTTCTCTTCCGAATTCTTCGTTTTCTCCCGTTCAAGTCCCCGTTTGGCCCCGCGATCAGTCGAACAGCTCTTTCTTCATCGAATCTTCATCGTGAATCTCCTGGTGCCCTTCAAAACTCTGAATTCATTCTCGAACACTCCTCAACTCATCCCGATCAATCCTTAATGCGCCGATATCAGGCCCTAAAAGATGTGATTTCATATCTAAAAATGCCAAAACTCGTTCCAACACCCAACTAACATGACTTGAGCTAAATATGATACTTATGACGCCTCAAAGAGAGGGAAACCATCAAAATCCGACTCACAAGTCATCACATTTCAAGAGTCCGACTCAAGTACATCACCATGCAAATCCTACATCACAAGTCAATTACTCCACCGTGTATTTCTAAAGTTCAACTCAAGTACATCACCATGCACATTATAGGCTACAACATTCAATCTCACATGCATTTCTAGAGTCCAGCTCAATTACATCACCATGCATGTCATCAATCACAACCCCTTGTCTACCCATGCACTTCTAGAGTCCAACTCAAGTACATCACCGTGTCATGACATAGACTCAATTTCTAAGCAAACTTATGCCTAGAATTGAGATATCAATAATCTATTTTGGGACATCCTTAAGGAATGCCCATAACATGATCTTAGCTTCATACTAAATCAATTTAGTCACTTGAATCACATTCAAGTACATCACTTACAATCAAATCCTTGCATTCAATCCTTAACAATTACAAACAATCATTAACTAGTATTTCAATACTATTAAGATTATTCCTATCAATCAAATATGCCATTTGTAAATCCCTACATATTTAGAGATATATAGCAGAAACTTAAGCATCCAATGTAATACATAAATAGTCATTTATGTATGTACACATTTCACACATGAAAAAAATGCTTATTTTACATAATAGCTCATTAATAGCTCATTTAAATCCATTTTTATCAATATGATTTCAAATCATTTCCAATTTCATCCCTTATCAAATATATCAATATTTCATCAATAATATATCATCATAATCCATGAAAACATGATTTAGATATTTAGGTAATCTCATGTTTAACCTACAAGTTGTAAGCAACTAGATGTCGATCCTCACCTCAAATGAGTTTTATGTCTTTCCTTCTTGATCCAATGTTCAAAGATTTGGCCAAGGTAAATTGATAGCTGCTTCATTGCTTATAAATGATTGTTAAACAGCCCCCTCATAGTGCTAGTTCAACCCTTGACCGTTGATACGAAAACAGCCCCTAGAACATATTATACACTTAGAATAGTTTATAACATCAATAAACTATTATACACTCGGTTCCTAGTTTTTTCCAAGGTTTGCTCTAGATTACTATCCAAACTTTACATCAATAACATAACCTTATAAGAACATATTATACACTTAGAATAGTTTATAATAGTTCCACCAATCGTTCATATCATATGGGAAATGAAAAGAAAGATTTTGGGATTAAAACTCACTTTAGAGAAGTAAATTCGTCCCTGCGCGTTTGTGTTTTGTTCGGACGATTTGGAAGCCCTCCACTACTCCTTTTGTTGAAAACAAGACCTTTATGGATTCCTTATCTTGAGAGATTTCTGTTGGCACCTTACACTACTTATTTAAATGAGTATAACTCAAGATACGAACCAAATAACACCAACACTCCCACTGCTCGAGTTTATACGCAGCAGTTCACTCAACCTCGATTATTGTCTGTGATACTCTTTCTTCTTGCTCAGAAACCACTCAATAATGAAACTATACTTCAAAGTCTATACAGGGACACCTCAACCACCCCATTTGGACGAGTATATCTCCAACTATTAGGGAGACAACCAGCACACTCATTTTGTGCGGAAATTGGAACAGTGGCCCCTTTTGAATGTCCTTCATGTCGTGTGCAGCTCCCCTTCGTTTTCATCCGCTCATTCCTACTCCTAACATTTATTTTTCTTTTTTATTCAGGTTTCAAGAAGTATGGGATGCACCCCTATTGATCCCAATTAATTTGGGGTCAAAAATATCTTCCAATACTTCCAAAAAATTGAAAGATGGGTCCTATTGTTTTATCTTTTGTTATGAGATGTCTTTTGTACCCATTCTAATTTATTTAGAAAAAGTAAAATTCTACATCATATTATTGGTCTCCAATATGTGTAGAGTGTCCTCAATAATTTATATGATGTATAATTTGGAGAAAATCACACTCTCATCACTTAGCTCAATAATGTCAAAGATGCAACCATGGGAGTTTGTATTCTTCTCTAATCGTCTTTTCCCTTATTTGTGACCTTTGCATTTTTATTATTGGGCTACAAGCCGGGTGGAATACCCTCGAGTGGGCCTAGGACGCCATTCTTGAATACATACTATTTTTAGCAGGTTGGGCCCAAAATAGTTCTTGGGCTGCCCGACTCCCCTTACTTTGTATAGAAGGGTTATAAATCTTTATTTAAATAATGTTGGGACCCTATATCCAATAAGATGACCCAATTAAGTATTTGAAAGTCCATTACTATTATACGAGCTCGAACGACAATATGATCAATCAATCATTACGTAAAACATTACCCGTTTTACAATTATTCGATAATAGGGAAATTCAATACATAAACTTTGAAATTTAATTTGAATTTCAAGGACGTTCAGGTGCGGTGTCACAAGTTCACCCTCATCAAAGCTTCTGTTTCCCAAGTCTCTCCTTCAACTCGATCACTTTTCCAAAGGACTTTAACCATTGGAACTTCTTTACTCCTCAATTTTCTTACCTTTCTATCGGTGATCTTGACCGGTTGAACGGCGTAGTTCAAATCCTCGTGTAGCTCCACTTGCAGATTTTCCAACACGTGAGAAGGATCATGTATGTACTTCTTAAGCATACATACGTGGAATACATTATGAATCTTTTCTAGCTCAGGAGTCAGCTGTAGACGATATGCTACGGCCCCAATTCTCTCTAGAATTCTGAATGGACCTATGCTCGGCTTTGGAATCGAATGATTCCTTTCCAAGGTGAAACTTTCAGGAATACCTCGTCATCAACCTTAAACTCTAACGTTCTCCGATGCTTATCTGCATAACTCTTATGTCTATCCTGAGCCGTTTTGAGTCTCTCTCGAATCAATTTCACCTTTGACTTGGTGATCTCAACCAACTCAATACCCTTGAGTTTGGCCATGCCCACCTCATCCCAGCATAACGGTGTACAACACCTCCTCTCATACAATGCTTCATATGGAGGCATGCCGATACTTGCCTGATAACTGTTGTTATAGGCAAACTCCATGAGTGCTAAGTAATTGTCCCAACTTCCTTGAAACTCTAACGCACAAGCCCTCAACATATCTTCTAAGATCTGTATAACTCTTTCAGACTGCCCATCCGTCTGTGGATGGAAAGTAGTACTGAAATTCAACCTCGTTCCCATAGACTCTTGAAATTTTGGCCAAAAATGTGACGTGAATCGTGGGTCTCTATTGGATATGATGGTCACCGGAACACCATGTAACCTCACGATCTAGTCCGTATACAATTTGGCTAACCTCTCGAGTGGGTAGGTGGTGTTGATATGTAAAAAGTGTGCACTCTTCGTGAACCTATCCACAACAACCCAAACTGTGTCATAGTTCCTGATCGTCCGTGGTAAGCCTGCCACAAAATCCATAGTCACATGTTCCCACTTCCATTCAGAGATGGAAAGTGGCTGCAATAAGCCCGTTGTATGGTGATGTTCTGCCTTAACTTGCTGACAAGTAAGGCACCGACTGATGTACTCTGCTATTTCTGTTTTAATCCAAGACCACCAGTAGCTTTCTTTCAAATCCCTGTACATGTTCGTGCCTCCTGGGTGCATAGCATACGCCGATGAGTGAGCCTCCTCCAGAATAGACTTTCAGAGCTCATCATCCGATGGTACGCCCACTCGGTCACGAGATAATAGGAGACCATCGTCTCTCTTCCTGAAGTCCTCAACCGGTCCCGCTAGCATGCGTTCTCACATCTTTATAAGTTCTTCGTCAGTTTCTTGCCCTTTCTTGATCTCATCAAGTAATGTAGGTCTCATTTCAAACCCTCCAACAAGGTGCCATCGGTAGATACTTCCAACTGAGCTCTCAATGATCACAAGTTAGTTATCAGTGCCCCCGACGAGCTCCTCCGACTAAGGCATCGACCACCTCATTTGCTTTACCAGGATGGTACTTGATCACTAGGAGGTAGTCCTTTATCAACTTCATCCACCGTCGTTGTCTCATGTTTAACCCTTTCTGAGTAAACACGTATTTCAAGCTCTTGTGGTTAGTGTATATATGACACGTTTCTCCGTAGAGATAATGCCTCCATTTCTTTAGTGCAAACACCACTGCCCCCAATTCCAAGTCATGAGTAGGATAATTCACCTCGTATGTTCTTCAATTGCCGTGAAGCATAGGCAATTACCCTCCCCATCTGCATCAACACACACCCGAGCCCCTGAATGCTCACATCGCTATAGACATCGTACCACATACCTTGTTTTGGTAAGGCGAGTACCGGTGCCTCAGTTAACCTTTCCTTCCATCCTAAGAATCCCTTCTCACATCGGTCATCCGATATGAACTTAGCCCCTTTTCGAGTGAGCTTTGTCGATGGTGATGCCAAAACTGAGAACTTCTCCACAAACTTTCTATAGTACCCTGCCAGTCCAAGGAAACTATGAATCTCCTTCACATTCTGTGACATCTTCGATCTTCTTGTTGTCTACGGCAATGCCTAACTCAGAAACCACGTGCCCGAGAAAGCCAATCTCCTTAAGCCAAAACTCACACTTAGAGAATTTGGCATAGAGCTGCTTCTCTCATGGTGTTTCAAGAACTAGAAGCAAGTGCCTCTCATGCTCTTCTTCATTCCTTGAGTAAATCAAGATGTCATCTATGAACACGATCACAAACTGATCCAAGTACTTGTGGAATACTCGGTTCATCAAGTCCATGAACGCCGTCGGGGCGTTAGTCAGCCCAAACGACATAACCAAGAACTCAAATTTGTGCGGAAAGCACTTTTCGGTATGTCACTCTCCTTGATCTTCAGTTGGTGGTACCCTGACCTTAGATCAATCTTTTAAAACATTGTTGCCCCTCGTAGTTGATCAAACAAGTCATCAATCCTAGGTAGAGGATACCTATTCTTGATTGTGACCTTGTTTAGTTGACGATAGTCAATCCACATTCGAATCGTTTTGTCTTTCTTTTTCACAAATAGTACCGGCGCTCCCCACGGGGAGTAGCTCGGCCTAATGAAACCGTTATCCAAAAGCTCCTGCAATTGGGTTTTCAACTCGTTAAGTTCTGTGGGTGCCATTCGGTATGGCAGTATGGAGATTGGTTTGGTGTCGGGCTCAACCTCGATCACAAACTCAATCTCTCTGTCGGGTGGAAGTCCCGGTAAGTCTTTTGGGAAGACGATCGGATACTTGCACACTACTCTCACATCATTGATGTCTATTTCTTCTTTGGTTTTTACTACCACGTAAGCTAGATACGCGTGGCATCCCTTTCTCATCTTATTTCTTGCTCTCACGGCGGATATGATACAACTGTTTGATTTGCCTCGATCACTCTCGAAGCGTAGGGTAATCCCATCATCGCCTTCGAGTTCTAGAACCTTTGTGTAGCAATCTACTCTATCATGATGCTTTTCTAGCCAATCCGTCCCTAGGATTGCATCAAAATCAATCATGCTCAACGGTACGAAATCACACGCCAAGGTTTGGCCATCAACTTCCACCTCACAAGATGGATAGTAACAAGTTCTCTCAGCGTCATCTCCTAGTGTTGTTAATACCACTAGGGTTTGCGTCAACAATATTGATTGCATCTCTAAGTCATCGGTGAGCGTCTCACTCACGAATGAACGTTGCGCCCCGGTATCGATAAGGATTCTCGCATCTCTCCCATTAATCCTTAGCATTCCTACATTTATAAGCCATGTAATATACCTAGCTAACATATCGGATCTTATTTTTATTATTATAAGCAAAGAATTGCAAAGAAGTTGAAAGGGATCGCTTTTAAGGCTACTTTTGCTATGTCCTTGGAACTTCGTACAACCCATATTCGTGTTGTTATCATTTCTTTGTGTGTGATGGTCCAAAAATACTCATGAGAGTTCCATTATATCTAGCCATAACATATCAACAACTCCTATGAAGAACATAATTCGAAATTGTGTCCCTAGAGTGGACATGTTGCTCAATGATGGTGGACGTTCGCAGTTGAGACATAAACTGACACCGTCTCACTGTTTTGATCATCTCTTCACATACCTAATCAAATCATTCGATTCAAATTCCATCATTTAGGCAATAAAAAGATCTACATCTTTCATGAAGACAATCTTTTCATTTGACGAACAAATCTAGGTTTACTCGGTCGGGTATTTCGGCTATACCCGATCGGGTCATTTTGGCAGCCTGCCCTGAGTTGTGGCACTCAGAGATACCTGGTTGGGTATCACTCATACCCGGTTGGGTATATGTGATACCCCGAAAAATGAATGTAAAATAAATAATTTTATTAGTCAAGTAAAATGTTACGAAAATGACATTTTAATAATTCAATAAATCAAATAAAATTTTAATGACTTAAATAGTGAAAGGGAGGGTTGTTTTATAAGTGAGGAATTTTGAGAACATATGATAAATTCTAAAAGAGACATATT